TATGTTATGCAGAAAAATAAACTGAACAACTTTTGCCCTAGGGTTACATCGAAATCCTTCATCAAATTGAAATTAAAAAAAAAAATTAATCGTCAGTTAAACTCGAACTTCGTAGCCAATTTTGGGCTATTCTTTATTATCCTAAGATTCAACTTTTTTTTTTTTTTTTTAAGTCTGTTTGAGTTTATGCGAGTGGCCTGTGTCCTGTGTCAGGTTCCCTACAACATTTCTTATTTTGCGGGCATAGCCCGCACCGCCCGCTTATATGTGAGGAACAAGCCCTCAAGTGGCCCTATCAGACATTGTTCTGGGCCACGGCCCCAGCAAGCCAAGTGCCCGCCCTCAGTGAAGGCGGGCCTGAATATTCATCATAGGCCAAATTCGACATTTCCATATGTGGGTATTCAGGCTCTTGCAGCACGTCAGTTGGTTGAGTGAACGCGCGAGCCTCACTAAGCTGCACCGTACAGTTGGCCCAGGCCACGAAAGTTGTGCCTGGGCACCTACACACAAAGCAGGGCCGATACATTGAGAAGCAGGCCGTCGGCCTCTGGAAAAGCAGTACAGCCAACGCACCTACCTGGGGGCCCTGCGCAGATGCAGCTAACAGTTTGGCCTGCATGTGACTGAGTGAGGCTACTTCTTGGTCTGAGTTTCAGTTTGATAGGTAGTTGCTTTAGTTGCTTGCCGCGTGCTAGAGCCATAGGAGTTAGTTTCAATTCTTGCATTTTCTGAGCTAAGTTTTTTAACTTAGATCAATTCTCGCATTTTCTAAGATCTTTTGTTATACTTGGCTTTGTATAAATCTTGGTAAGCTACTTTCTCTACGGGGAGCGATGCCGAAATTTCTACAAATCCAGGGAGTTAGTTAATTCTTGGTTTCTCAAAGTTCAACTTGTCTAAAGTTCATGTATGACTTAGTAAAAATATGAAAAGTCTCCTTTTCTAAAGGGAGTGTTGCCCAAATTTTTGCTAATTCTGGGAGGTAGACAAAATTGGACTTTGGAAACTCAAAGACTATTTCTGTTTTCTTATTCGGGCTGATATAAATTATGAAAAGACATTTTTTCTACGGGAAGCGCTGCCGAAATTTTTTTGATTTAGAGGAGTTTGATTATATTTTGACAGGTGATGATTTTGGCGATCCACCCTGAATAGGGGAGATTCTGCTATTGGTCTACCTTTGCTTTGGGCACTGGCTTAAGAGGTAGGCTTAGGCTTAGTTGGCAGATAATTTGAGTAAGAATGTGCTATGGAGGTTTATCCCCCATATGTTGATGATTTAGCTTAGGCATTGACCTGTTTTATGGTACAGGCCTTTCTTGGACATTCGATTCAGGACTTGGACTAGTTCAGCTTGATCCTACAAGGATCATCTTCTGTTATCACTGATAACAGATCGGTTGCCGATTCGTCGGTTTACGATTCAACTCCAATTCACTCCTGCCACTCAACCTAAAGGCTTTAGCCTTGAGATTTAAACTATTTTGTTGTGTTTTCACCCGGACTTTATTGAATGGCCATCTAACAAAAGTACTGAGTATTTATTTAAGAGTTGCACGAGTGAGGCTTGTATGGCTAAAGCGAGGGGTATGAGTGCAAGGAATGGTTGAAGTTGACCCCGTGTAGTGCGTGGGTTTTTGATTGAATCTTTGATGTGATTGCAGGTGCGTTTGTGGTTCAGACTGTGGATGTGATTGTCTGCGATTACATACATATATGGCTGAGAGGAGCCCGACTGTGACTGTGAGAAGTGATCGTCCTATATAACGAACCCTCATATATTTACGAGTACCCTTAGTATTGGAGAGGCCTACTGGGATTGTGTATAAGGGCTAACCAGATTACGTCTTGAGAGAAAAGGGAGATCCCCTTTTATCCTTTGCTTGTTAGAGATTTTTATGGTTGGATGTTGTAATCCGTGGCAGCCGTTAAAGTCAAACCCCTTGAGTTTCGCCCAGGCCTGGAGTGGGACTTATCTCCAGGGCAGTAAGAAACGACTGCCACCACAGGTATGGACCTGTGTACCACCCACTCTGCACAGGGTGCAGAAAAGGGTGTGTGGCCTTCAACCGCGCATGGCGGTTATCCAGCGTCGAGAGATTAACCCTCAAGGCGAGTGTCAACCGACACTTGAGTGTCGAACACGACCCTCAAGATTAACGAGGACCGCGTGAGTATGGGTACTACATAGTACGCCATCATTGTAACCGCTTGCGTGCGCTTGCATTGCGAGTCGATATGAGTTAGCCCTGCGTCAGGGCTGTTTTATATTAAATCTCGCGCGCGATGTTTATTCGATTTCCACGTCAGAGAGTTATGGGATGGCTACCGAGGGGCTAGGAGCGTTGTCGCGTTGTTTATGTTGTGTCGTTTCGTGTGTATGTGCGTGCGTTGTCGTTTTGTGGTTGTTAGAGTGGTGTGCGCGTGGTGTGTGGGATGCGTCCTAGTCGACTGACGACGAGTCGCGCTTGGGACCTCTGCCTCCCTAGGTGTCGGTTCGCGTGCGGGTCCGATAGGCGTATTACCACGCGTACCCCCTATGCTACAACGAACGAGAAACGCCCTCGGCTGGTCCACCTCTGCGATTGCAATGGAGTAACTTTCGTACTGTGGACTGGTAGCTCGGCGGGGGTTCGCCCACCGAAGGGAGGTGACAACTCCTGTAAGGTGGAGGTAAGTGGTGCCTCGCATAGGCCCTATCCTGTCGTAGGGGCTCGCGGGAGGTATGGCTGGCGCACTCGGCCGGAGCGGTTTGTGGAAGCTCCATGTATATTCGCGACGAAGGATTTAAATCCAACTCCTGGGTGACGCGGCCGGGAGGGTCCCGCGCTGCCTGGTGCGGTGCAGGACTGATGCGCTCGACAACGCACCTCCCCAGGAAAGTTGTCAAGAACACGGTTATTAACATAAGCGGCATCGTCATTTGTAGGGCATAGAATTAAACGAGGCAAGAAATAATCGGCATCCCCCACATGGTTGGACACATCATCAAACGTCCATGAAATCAACTCATCAATCGGTTTGTCCATACAAATCTCACGTGGCAATCTGACCGCAGCAAGTTCATTATGAACAACATGAGGATGGTCACCGATCCCAATTCGCATCATTTGTGCCATTTCATCATTCCCCAAGCTTAAGATTCGCATATTTTTGGTCAATTAATGAACCTAAAAAGGTTTCCACAAAGGGGACATTTTCATGGACGCATCAATTTATTGCGCTCGCGACCCATGTTTCACAACGGGCAAAACCTGTCTAAAATCCCCAGCAAGAAGTAAAACTTTCCCACCAAATGGCTCGTCGTTGTTACAGAGATCTCGAAGTGTAATGTCAAGAGCTTCCAAGTGAAACTAATTACTCATCGGAGCCTCGTCACAAACAATCAAGTCCACACGGCGGATAAGCTCCGCGAGATCACTTTGTTTCGAAATCAAGAAGGGACACGTGTTATCGGGTTTCAAAGGTGCACGAAATCGTGAGTGAAACGTTCGACCGCTCGTTAAAAGAGTCGCCGTTATCCCACTGGACGCTACGGCCAATGCAATGGCAGAACGGGACCTGATGCCTGCCAAAATTGATTCAATGCAAAAAGTATTTCCTGTTCCAGGAGGTGCATCGACGAAAGCACGCAACAGTCTTTTCTCTTGCATAGCCCGAACGACTCTTTCCACCAAAACTCGTTGATGTGAACTAAGACGTCGAAAATTAGAGTCATATCTGCATTGCATTTCAATCGGATCATACGACAACTTGTCATTTAGAATCGAGGATATTGTTCTCTTCTCGTAATGTCTGGTTATGTTCTCAGGAATTGTTTCCCCGTCGCGTGTCGGATAATGAAGGCAGAATTGACGGATGTTTTTTCCAGACTCTTGCAAAATACGATCAAGATGGAATAACACTAACGATTGCAAAATGTTCGGGGGAATAATTTCACAGTCGTGGCGATACTGAAAATCGTCACACATCTTATCCCAATGTCGTTCGAAGAAACGGACCGGATCGTTCACTGGACTAAACGTGAGAAGCATAGCGAATATTTTACGAACTTCTTCAAGCATGTAATGTGCAACGGCCGTGTCCATGCATTGATCGTATGCATCGTCTGTTTGCAAAAGGCCCAATCGAAGACACACAGATCGGAAAGAGTCATATTCCACTCCGTCCACTGTACGAATTTCAGCAAAAGAGCGCACCCTACGGGAATGTTCATGGTTTAGTAACACGCGCAGATAGAATCGTTCGCCTTTCACGATCCTCACGTGATGCAACCGAGATATCTTTTCAAAGGGACCACCGTGAAGATCACACTTTTTTCGGTTCCACTTCTTATTCTTTTTATCCCACACATGAATATTAACGATCTCTGCGTACAGAGGAAGCTCCTCTTTAGGAACATACTTATTCAAAATGTGTTTTATTCATGCCGTCAATTTCGTTTTCGGGGGCCCTTGCGAAACAACGTCATGCTCAGTGCTAGGTTCGAATTGCACTTTTTGCATGTTTTCGAGATGCACGGGCAATCTTTCGATCGCAGACCATTGTTCTGCAACGTCGAACTCAAATAGACGCTAGCATGCTTCGCATGCACCTACAACACTCATATCTTGATACAATTTGATCTCGTCGATGGCCGCATTATTATCTTGCTCGCAAATCATAGCACGATCACACCCTTTGTATACGTACTTATACACGTACTTATACACGTACTTGCACGCCTTGATGTTAGCACAATGTTCAACATTTATGTGGCAATTAAACCTCATTAGCAAGTACGGGTTATACGAGACTGCACACCGATTGTGGTAAACGACTTCATTTTGAACAATCGTAAAACCACCGTCACTTGGTTTCCTTCTCCTATACGAAGGGTACGTTTGTTCGTCTTTGAATGTTATTGTTGAAATGAAGTCTTTCAGAAACCCTTTTGTGCATTCTCCGTCCTCCGTACACGAAGCGTCACGTTTCTCCGCACCGCAAATCCCGTGCAACATAAACTTGGTCACCCTTTCTCTCAATTCCCCTTCTGGAGGAATCTCGGCACACACCACATTGTCAACAGCATCCGCATCCCGAATTTTATCATTCGGATGCAGGATAACCAATATATGTGCGTGTGGTAGACCCCTCTTTTGAAACTCCACCACATACAACATTCCACTCACCCTACCAAAAATCCGTTTATTCTTTATCTCATCAATCAGTTGTGCAAGATAACCTTTGAACACTCGCACCAGAAGATTCGGCCTGTCGTTAGGACATTGACCTGGCAACAGGGCTTGTTTGATCTCCGACCAGTTAGTGTTGCACGTCGTAGTGATGAAAAAATCCGGTTTTTCGAATCGCCTCACAATTGTCATGCTGTCGTGACATCTTTCACTCATATATCGGGGTCCCCCATTGAACGTTGACGGTAAAACCACTTTTGTCCCACCACTATCACCACGTTGATTTTGTTGCATGACGTCTCTTAAATCTTGATAATACTCCGAGCGCAATTCTTTCTGGTGGAATCTCGCTCATTTTAAGCGGAGGGATTCAACTTTAGCGTACGCCATGCAACAAAACTCGTGGAAGAGACGTGCTGTATAAAGGAGGCAAGGTCTTTCACCATCGCGCTCGTGAAGGTGAAAAGCGTAGTACTCTTTGGCACTAAGTCCTAGCGGTCATCCTGCTTCCGAGGCACGTCGAACAGACCAACTATCATTTCCCTCCGGGAAAAGTAAAACAAACCTTAAGCAATCGTGCGCTCGAGACTATTCCGGAACCACAACCGTCTGCCGCTTACCTGGAAGAGGAGCACGCAAACGAATCTCGAGCTCACGAGGAAGGAGTGCATCGGCCATCATAACACACACCTTATGTAAGCCCATAGGACGGTTATAACGCCTTGCATGTTCCCCATCAGGCATGGCATCCGGATTTAAGACCAACTTCCTCCCGTTCAACGCTTCCGGCGGAAGGTCAGCAACCGTCATAAAGTCCTTCACGTAATTGTTACATCGTTGTAGCAATTCGTGAAACTTTCTCAATATGCGTTTCGCTTGATCAAGTTGGGCATCGGGTGTACCTGCAGGTAAGTTAAGGAAATCTATCCTTTGATCAATCGCATCGTCCAAATGTTGAGGATCGTGCAAGTATAGTTGCACAAACTGAGGACGTTCGCCTTCCCCCACAGCCAATGCACCGACACGATGAAATATTGAACCTTGATCCCTGAGTTGGCCCTGGAATCCTCGAACACCATCGCTCGGTTGCTTCAACCGCGGGGATGCAACGGAAAAACTAATATTAATTATCCTCGCATTATTTCGAAGGAATTGACCATCGGAACTTTGAGACGTCCAAAAGGAAAGAATTTCATGCTCCGGGGAGCCTTCGCAAGGCCATTCCCATAGAGGACAACGCTTTGTACCTTTTCGACAACACATCTTTGTCCATTTTTTTTCGTGATGCCACAATTTAGCACCACAATGCTTATATGGATCTCAACCGCCAATGCCAAACGGTTCAACAGTGTTAGCATTCCCAAATATCGCCACGGTGTTCTCAACCGTCGCATACGTTGTTGCCACGGGTGCCGATGGGAGTGCATTAAGATCAGGAGCTGGAATATCATGAGAATCATTAATTTCTTCCTTGTGACTATTTGACTCACTGTCTTCGAGATTATTCATTGAATTTTGATTTCTCACGGATGAATTTTGTGGTTGTCTCCCTCGCGATGACAGACTCCACGAGTGTCGCGCCCGAGAAGATTGACTTTGCGATTGTCTCGCAGGAGAAGATGCACTCCTCTATTGCGCAGAGGCGCTCACTCGAATCTCTCGAAGGATATTCACAGCGAACAAACTTCGCCGCACAACCCGTACAATTTTTTTATGAGCACGCACATCTTCTTTCCTCCTATGATTCTTAAGTGCAACTCTCAATGCACGCATACGTTTAACATCAAAGTTTGGTTGTCTTCCCTGTCTTTTCCTTCGTTTTGAAATTATACGCGACGTAGAACAGGATTTATTCACATTTATTCTATCGACTTGTTTCATTCCTTCACCAGCCTCTACAGTACTTTCAACAACTATTGCACTTGCATCATAGCCCGATGACATATGGTGAGGCATCGACGACAACGATCCGAGTTCCAAACGACGCACGACTTTATTCGCATGGAGTCGTCGAATCAATAACATACGGTACCGTCGGTTGCGCCTTGAACGAATCGATTTCCATAATAATAATCTTTGTCGTCGATTATGAAATCCAACAAACTTTCTAATCAACGTGTTCGGAGAATTCGGTGGGGTCGTGGCAGCAGAAGATGCATTTGCAAGAACATCCCTCAAGGGAGGACAAATATTACTCTCAACAAATCTTTGTGGGACATCGGCAGTCAATGTGGGCGATGAACAACTGTGCATATGTGCCGAGTGCGAGAAAAAATTATCCAGTAAAACGGATCTTTCGACAATCGAAACGGAATCTGCATTTATTGCAACATCCGTACGAATTTCAAGTGAACGTTCACTTTGCAAGGCCATAGAGAGATTTACAGGACAACTAATGCGATCCGTATCAACATTATTATCTCCTCGATTCATTCTGTTGAAAAACACGGGGCTTGTGAAATCATTCAACGATGGAATTAATTATCGAAAAGATAGAGACCTATCACTACATTGTTCTTCATTAGAACAATCAAGACTATAATCTTTACTTACCACCGGTTGTTTATCTCTCTTGCGAGCACTTGGCTCACCTACTGGCGCCTGTAATAAAGACCTCCGGGTTCGACGACTTTGGGAAGGTGGTCGTCCGCGTTTGCGGTGTTCGTGTTGTAATGGCGTCGTCGTCTCACTCGTAGAGCGACAGGGAGTAACATCTAAACCTATACGCAATCCCAATCCATGGTTGGATGAGAAAGAAGGGTCCTCGAACGAAGACAAACCGACTTAATCTTGAACAATGGAAGGACACCGAGTACATTCTGATATTATCGGCGAGGACACCAAAGGATCATTAACAACCCTTTCAAAAGGCCGATGGCGTTTGCGACGCTTCCACAGAAATTGCAAGGACCTATCCGCAGGTGAAGAGAAGGTTGGAATGGTGGATAGATTACTGTTGGTTGAAGTGTCACGTGGGTCTTGGTCCTCTGCCAAATTAATGGGCACGTACGTACGTAATTAGACATGGGTACGTCACGGTGGATAGGAGGAATAAGATGTATATAGACAACCGGAACGAAAAAAATGCACCTAAAAACATCCATATATAGATGTAGTTATATGAAGAAGAGTAGTATAGTGTCAAGTATAAAAGAAAAAAAAAAGAAAAACAAAGAAGACATAGTGCAACACAAAGAACGCAGCCAAAATGCGAAGCACAGACGATAAAAAAAAGAGGAGTCAATTCGTTTTTTTTTCTTTCTTGAGGGCGTCTATCGTGGTTAATCAAAGTTAATTCACATCGGAATTTAGTCATTGGTGCAAATATAGATGTACAGGTCCACTTTCATGTTCTTGCAAATGTTTGATCGGGACCGGAACTTCTTTGAACTCCTATTGAGGTTAATTAACACGCCTCCTATTTTTTTCGTATGCCTCATTCGTTTCTTATGTTCGATTTATGATCCTATACACCCCTTAGTCTTTTCATGGCCCCATGCGATAGAGTCATACGTACCTCGTCTATCCACGTTTGCCCTTTGTCATTTTCTAGCAGGGCTCACTTTCCTGTTCAGATAAATTTGTCACTGGGATCGGAACTTCTTTTGGTTCCAATCCACCATAATCGAGGCGGCTCCTACTTGCGGCCAGCCTTAGGTATCCTAAGTCAGTCATCCGTCCACA